GGGGGCTCTCCTTCTTCAGTCCCAAAACCATCCCTGGCCTGATCGGCATATATGGCAGTCCCATGGAGTGTAAAAAGGAATCTCTGAAAACACCTAGGAGAATTAGGAGAATTAGACCAATGAGAGATTCTGGGAGGAGGTTAGATGTTGAACTTTCTTTTGCGCCTTTCTTGTTATCCCCCTCTGAGCTACCACCGTTCTTTCAGAATTCCAACAACTTCTTCTATATTTCTTGGACAAACAGCGATCGGCGATTTCTGGGGTCTCCCTCTTGAAATACACACACCGCACCGAACGCATTCACCATGAACACATCGAAAGGTCGCGCATTCACCGTGGACCGCCTTCGTCGCACCGAGTCCGCAGGTTACTTCTTGGGACTTTGGGAGCAGAAGCGGAAGAACCTCACTGGGGCCAGGCAACTCTTCGAAGAAGGCCGGGCGAAACGGGTGGCCGGGGCGAGGTCAGGAGCAGAGCGGTGGCTGGGGCCCGGAGCAGGGCGGAGCAGGGCGGAGCAGGGCGGAGCAGGGCGGCGCATGGTGCGGAGCAGGGCGGCGCACGGTGCGGGGTGCGGGGGGATTCTTGGAAAGCCGGGAGCACAACCAGAAACAGTGAAAGGATGTTTCCCGAGTCGCAGCCACTTCCGATGTAGATTGGAACAACCATTTGTTTCTGGTTGTTTGGGTTTTCGGGTAGGCAAATCGTAAGGTGCCAGCAGATGAGATACCCTGATGCGTGGATTCCCCAAAGGGAACCGATCTCCAGAAAGGGCAGGAAAGGGCATTCAATAGAGACTCATGCATTAGAATCAACATCTAACAACTGGTCCTGCTGTAGATGCTTTTCTCCCGCCAGTGCGGCTCGGTCCGAGTCGACGAGGTTCCGTGCAGAGTCAACGGCCTGCAGAAATGCGAGGGTTTTACAGTGGAAGTTTGGGCCATGTATGGGGTCCAAAAGAATTACCCCGAAGCAAATCATCATGAATACACCTGGCGGGCCTGGCCTACCTCGAACCTACAGGTACATATGACTACAACATCCCTATGGCCCTATGGGCATATGACATCTGTGATATGTATGATCAAGAACTGATCGCCCCCTGGTCTTTTCAGCTCAAGGCCCCAGTGTGGGAACTTGCTTTAAGCAACGGCCCCAACTCCGACCCTTTCAAAGCGTGGCAACGACGCATGGCAGGAGCATGGTGGCATGGTGTCAAAACGTCGTGGTAGGTGGCAGGAAGTGGATCCACTGCTATTTGCTCATTGATTTCTTCTCCCGGTCCCTGGACCCAATACCCAAAACTGGTGTTTCAATGTGTTTCTTTTCCCGGTTCCTGGATCCAGCAAATCCTAAGAAGCTGGAAGCTTCCATGGCACAGGAAGCAGGACGCTTACTCGCTTACTCGTCAGACGGGGTGGGGTGGGGTAGTAAGGACGCTTACTCTATCAGCGGCCGAAGGTTGGACAGATACCGTAGTTGTCATAATAGATGGCCATGGTTTGAGGGTCCTGACACTGGGAGGTCTGCCAGGTTGAAGTTGTTTGTCACACCCCTCAGGGTTTTGCGGTCTGCCCCATCAAGGAAGAGTTGTAGTCCTTTCAGTTACCAGTGCTCTTCAGCCACTGGTGCTGTTGAGATGGACCCTTTTTCGAAACATCCTCTTGGCTTCCAACCGACCAATATCTCTTCGCCCTCGTCGGCGTTCTGTTTGAACTCGCGTTCTTGCCTCCTGCCTGGGTCGCGCTACCGGCCCCCGGCAGCAGGTGCCCGCTTTGGGGAGGGCAAGGCCATGACCGAGCTGGGCGTGGCCTATCGGGATGGCTGGGGCGGAGCAAAGGACCTGGCTCCTCGACTTTCACCCCATCACCGTCACCAGCAAGAGCTTTTAAATGTTGGAACTCCATTCCTGGACTCTCAAGCATCAGGAGCCCCTTGTTTCATGTGGATGCGAAGATCTTGTAGCATTGCTGGTTTGGTGTGCTACAGATGTGGGCAATTGTCTCCAGTTGCAGAATTACTGGAGGCTGTTGGCATGGCAGGATTGGCATGTCCAATAACACACAGATCGAGATATACCGATGTACATACGAGCTTGCCATTGAGTGACGGACAAGCCGTTACGTGTAGCCTGGAGTCCAGGATGTTCTCTTTAACACATCCTCCGAACCCTCTTTTGTTTGAGCAGACTGATAGCAATTCATGTGAATGACCATGACCTCCATTTTGGGCCAGACGCTTCTGGAAAGGATATTTTCTACGTCAGGCAGAGGGT